GGTTACAGCCTGCAGAAAGCCGTGGAGCGATAGATCCGACAAGATCGGCCCTTAGTGGCCATCGTGGCTCCCGCTTGCCGGCCATTCGGTCGTTGGGCTACGTTTAACTGCAAACGCAACCGCAGCACCTGGCTGCGCTCCTATTCGAACGCGGCCCCACGCGGCCGATTCTGCGGCTACCTCTCACAGTTGCAGATCGAGCCGGGTGGCTACTTCGTCAATGAGCAGCCCGGACCATTGTGGCTGTATGTCGGGCCGCCTTGGCCAGAGATGCTGGCAGTGCCGAGCGTGGAAAAGGTCATCTTTGACCAGTGTCACCTTGGGGTTCGGGATCGCCGCGGGGGCATCTTGAAGAAGACCGCCAGGCTGGTCTCCAACGCCCTGGAGATCCTCGAGCAGTTCTCCGACCTTCGCTGCCCAGGCAAGCACGCGCACGTCCACGTCGAGGGCCGCGACAGCTTCGACGCCCAGACTTGGCCATGGAAGATGGCCGAGCGACGCGTCCAGGGCATCGTGGACTTGCGTCGCCGTCTGCGGCGCCCGCATCTCGCGAACTGCGTTCGCGAATGCGGCGTCTGATCAGCAGCCAGCCTTCCCAGCTGCGGCTACTGGCGCCGCTGGGGGAGACCAGGCGCGAAGGTGCAGCCGAGCGCGCGCGCGCTACGCATGCAAGGCGCGCAAGCGCAACGCACAGGCGGACTCGCCCATGCACTCCAGGGATCCAGCAGCGCGCCGCTAGCCGCACAGCGCACCGATCTACTGGGAGCGCCCCAGCTGCCAAGAGGAACAAGAACGCGGTCGCCCCGCGCGCACTCACGAGTTCGGCAAAGGCAGGCATGCGGACCCGGACCCCCATGTTGACCCGCGCCCGCGCGCCGGCCAGCGCCCGCGAGCACCAGCGCGTCCTGGAGGGCCGCGTCGCTCCAGCGATCAGCAAGCTCAGCGACCCAGCGGCGCAGGCCCCAGAGCCGCAGACGAGGCTGCTCCACCACCCGCGCCCGCAGGAGGCCTAGGAGCCAGCTCGTCATCTAGCGCTGGAGCTCAGCGCACTGTTTCGGGCGACTGTGTCGCTCGACGGGGGTCCGGGCAGAGGGTGCTGGTTCGGGCGACTGTGTCGCTCGACCAGGGGGCCGAGCTAGTCCAGCGTCAGGCGCAGAGCCTCGTCGAGCAGCACCACGAATTGCCGACGCAGCTGCAGGCAACCCGACGCCCTCAGACGGGACTCGCTTCGACGTCACTACCTCCTTACGAGCACTCCGCAGCGACTCGCAGGAAACACGCATGCGGGAGCTGCGCAAGCTGCGCCTCTGGTGGTGGCGCATCACCGAGGAGGAGAGAACACCAGCATTACATGCAGCCAACAGTCCACAGGACATCTTCAACTTCATCTTCACGGCGGTAAACAACTGTAGAGAGCGTCGCAAGCGGCTACCGCCAGCACCCTTGACCATCCCCAGGCTCCGCCTGTTGACGCGATTCAACCACCACGTCGAGTGCGATTTCCTCTTCTACCAGGATCGCAGGACCCTCCACCTAATCTGTTGCGCCTCACGGCGGCGCAGTGGTCAGGAGGTCACGTCCACGCGCGACTTGACGCTGCTAGGTGTCGCCGACCGTTCAAGCACTCCGCACCGCAGAGGAGCATCTGGAGCGCGAAGGCATCACAGCGAACTTCGACTCCATTCTAGCACGCGCCGTCTCCGCTGGCAACAGCCTCACTCACGTGGGCGGCATTGCGCCATGCAGCGTCGTCGTCGGACGGCAGCCGCCCATGCTGCCACCGCTCGAAGCAGACGAACAGGGCGAGGCATCCAGCGACTGCGTCGCCGGTGCAGGGCCCCCTGCCGGCGGGGAAGTGCCGACCTGCCGACTGCAGTGGCGCATCCGACAGTAGCCCTGCAACGCGTGATCGAAGCCGCATCAATCGCACGCGTCAGCCGTGCCCTCAGGGCCCGCGCCACCGAGTCCGGGTAGGGCCGCTTCAACGTGGACGACCAGGTGGAGATCCACAGGCCGCCAAGCACCCAGGACGTGTCTGGCTGGACTGGCCCTGGGACAGTCATGTCTGTAGACCCAGCTCGATGCAAGGTAGCGAGCAAGTACCGCCGAGCCGAGATGGTCTGCAGACTGCGCGACGCCCAGGCCTTCATCGGTGCCGTCTTCGTCGAGATGGGCACCGGAATGGCGCTAGCAGGCTTGGCCTTGGACCGCGTAGTGGGCGATTTGGAGCACGTGACATCAGGCTCCGGGGTCAGGAGGGAGGACACCAGCGCAGCTCACCGAGCAGGCACGACAACGCCCAGACGTCCTCGAAGCCCTGCGCCATTTGTCCCGCAGATGCTTTCAAGTACCTGACACTCGCGCTGCGCGACTACTGCGCGGCGCGGTTGCCTCGGGCCCCTACCGACGTCCTGCAGATCCACCTTGACGGCGTCGCACCCGACGCCCACCAGCTCATCGGCAAGCATAGGAAGGAAGCAGGCATCATCCACTTAATCTTTGGCGATGAGCCGTCCACGGTGACAGACGCCAGGCAGGACCTGGACGGAACGTTCGATGACTATGTCATCGAAATTCTGGAGGACACCGCCAACGCCGCCGAAGTTGGATCGCCGTCAGCCTTGCCGGCTATATCAGAGGAGATCGGCGGCGACCCCTCCGGCCACATCAAACAGGCGATGTTGGCAGCTTGGCGCAAAGTCGAAGGGGCAGTGGACGTGGCCCAGGAGCCGGGGGAGCTGGGGGGCACCGACAGCCAACATCAAATCTTTGCCGCTGTCGAGCACGCCGCGGCCGACCTAGGCCGTAGGCCGCGCGAGTGGCCCCAGCCCCTCGACGCACCACCAGCGCCAGAGCATCCACGCGCAGTGCCACAACTACTTGCGCGGGGCCTCCTTGGACGACCACGCCATGTTAGAGGAAGGCGAGGAATGTAAACATGCATGTGGAGCTATATATCTGGATCCAGGTGCGCGCGAAGCATCCCTGAGCTTCAACGAGGCTGCGTCTGGCGACTGCGTCGCTGGCGCCCCTCAGACGGCAGCGCCCGGCGACTGCGTCGCCAGCCCCCCCCCCAGAGCAGCGCTGAACATTCATGCCGCCGTCGAGGCCGCGGTCATCTGGCGCGACGCCGACCTACTGTCCAACGAGGAAGCGTCGAGGTGGTCGAAGGGTGTTACAGCAGCTGTCCTCGACGGGCTCGCCATCTCAAAAATTTCGAGAGGTGGCGGCCGATCAAAGGCGCCCGAAACGCAATGGACCCCAGACGCGTCCTTAAGAGGAAGCACCAGACGGCAAGATTGCCGGGATCATCCGACGCCTCACGGCGCTGAGGGGCTTCCGCGACATGGGCGCCGGAGCCTTGGAGACGTTCGTTGGGACAGCGAAGTGGGCGTTGCATCGCCCTCTCTTCTTAGAGGCGGCGCGTCGCCCCAAATTGACGCGCGGCGTCGTCGACGTCGAAGAGGCACTCCTGCGAGGCATGACCTGCGCGGAGATGCAGGAGCAAGGCGAAGCACCCTGCAGGTGCGGAGTGCACCAGCACAGCAGTGCCGATGGCACCGTGGCGCTCGACCAGGACGAGTACATCGACGCTCTGATGCCGATCAGACACGTCGACCTGGCCAAGGCCATGACGAGCCGGCCAGAGGTCAGCTTCCCGTCCTGCTCGTCTCCCCCTGGGTGCAGCGGCCTTGCGCCCTGCTCGCCCAACACCGCGTCGCAGTGTGCATCGTCGCCCTGCAGGGAGCCAAGAGCAAGCTGCTCATCCGACACGCGATGCAGCTCGGTTCAGTTGTTCTGGACATGCAGAAGATCAAGGCACGCATCGCATTTCCACCCATGGAGTGCGCCGAGCGACTCAGCGCGCACAGCGACGAGTCCTTCGAGAGAGGGGGTGTCAGGATACGGCATGAGAAAAGCCGTATACGTGCGTCTCGGCAAGTGCCGCGGCACTGGCAAACAGGTGCGCCACCTGCTGGACGCTGTGAGCCGATCGCACAAGCTTGCGTGCAGATCCTCGTTCGGCTGCGAGCTTCTCGCAGCATGCGCCGCGACAGACGGTCTACAGGCGCGCCTCCTCGCGCTGCGCGAGATGGTGCACGGCCCCGCCTCTGCCGAGGAGATCAGGGGGCTGAGGGAAGAAGGAGGTTCCGCGATCCCGGCAGACATCGACGTCTTCAGCGCCCTGCTCATGGACCCAGTCGGGCCGCCGGCCGAGAACAGCATCGCTGGCCACCTGTGGTGGTTAGCCGACCAACTGCGCACCAAGCAGATCGACGACTTGCTCTGGTGCGACGCTCGGGACGCGCGGGCCGACCCCTATGACCAAGCGCAGCGTCGGCCGAGAGCAAGTCCTCAGCGCGATGGGCGACCAGCGGCCAGATCAGCTATGGCCATGTCACGATCAATTTCAGCGCCGAGAAGCTGAAGAAGGCCGCCCCGAGCTCACAGCATAGCTCACTCACGCGGAAATAAGGAGAGGACTCTCGTGACTGCGACACGAGGCCACGCGAAGTCGGGAAGTGGATTCATGACGTTTAGCGGGCAAGATCCATGAGTTGAGCATTCTAGTGAGCCGGCTCGCCCAGACTGTGTCCGGCTCGTTGTAGCTTTAGCATCTGTTATATATATATATATATACATATATATATATATATATTATTGAATTTGTCCGGGAGGGGGACAAGTTGGCCTGCTTCGGCTAGTCCCACGGGCTCTGGCGGGAGTATTCCCATTCCTGCCGCTGGCGCCGTCGCATGTTTTTTGCGGTTGGCGCCGTGGGGGGTCAATGCACCTCTTGGGACGGAGTAAAGTGGATCCCTCCTTTGCAGTGTCCGACCGACTGCACCACAGACGGGCTTGAGCACCAGACCCGAACGGTAGAACACTTGTTTATGTTTTCACCTTTGCTTGCTGTAGTGGTCTTCCCTTTCCATTGCCATTTGTGCTCTGGGGCTGGGGGGATATCCTTTCGCGCTCGCCATACTCGCGCCTTCTACGCGCCCTGTCTATGCGCCGATGCCGAAAACATCCGCCTCATCCTCGCGCCTGTACAGCCTCATTTTTGTTTAGTCAGGGGTGCGAGCAGGGGCACGGATCAACAGGGTCGACCGCCGAGGGAGGGTCGGGCGCAGGGAGGGCTGGAGCTTTTTTTTCTGTGAGTTGTTTCGAGGCGGGGGGTGGTTTTCTGGTCTTTCCCGTCCTGGCCGCGTCTTGAACCAACGTCGGCCCGGGCCCCACGCGGACGGGGTCCAGAGGTTCGAGGTGCGAGGTTTTGGTGCGTGTCCGTCGGCGTTCGGCGTTTTTTTTTCCAGGCCCGGGATGCCTTCCAGCAGCCGCGCCTCGCCGAGGGCGTTCCCTGGGTGTCTGGGCCATCCCGAGCGGTCGCCAGAGGCCCGCGCTACTGCCCGCACGCCACCCTGACTCCAGATCCGCCCTACTTCTGGTTTCTCTTCCAACTTAAAATTGCGTCGGAAATCCACCTATAAGAAGCCGAAAAAAGTAGAGCGGAAATTTCTGCACCCAACAGAAAGTATGGCGGAAATCCGAAGAAGTAGGGCGGAAACAGCAAAAGAAAAGTAGGGCGGAAATTGGCATCAGCGGGGCTTGAACAGTAAGGCGGAAATTCCAAGTCCTACTTACGAATTTCCCGGAAGTAGGGCGGATCCGGAGTCAGGGCGTCCCGAACGGTCGTCGGAGGCCCGCGCTACTGCCCGCACGCCAGGGCGCGGGAGATCCGGGGCGCCGACCGGGGGAGGAGGAGCGGGCTTTCCTGGGGGAACGCATCGGTCCCCAGTCGCCCCCCGACGGGGCCATTTGTTGCCCACCCCGCCCAGGAGCGTGCGGATTTGCCAGCGAGAGCCGACCCTGATTCCGGATCCCCCCTACTTCGGGGAAATTCATAAGTAGGGCTTGGAATTTTCGCCTTACTGTTCAAGCCCCGCTGATGCCAATTTCCGCCCTACTTTTCTGTTGCTGTTTCCGCCCTACTTCTTCGGATTTCCGCCCTACGTTTATGCTGGGTGCAGAAATTTCCGCCCTACTTGTTCGGCTTCTTATAGGTGGATGTCCGACGCAATTTTAAGTTGGAAGAAAAGCCAAAGCAGGGCGGATCTGGAGTCCGGGGATCGCCGACTGATATCGGCGGTGTGGTCTCGCCGGTTCCATGTTCGATGCCCCCTCCGCCCCCGCCCCCCTGCAGGCTCGGGTTCTGCGGCGGCGGCGCCGCCCGCGCGCACCCTGATAATCTTCGACTGGGACGACACGCTGCTGTGCAGCTCCGCCCTCAATGAGGGGGAGTGTGCCGCCCCCCTCCCCGCGACTGCGCGCGGGAGTGGCCCTTCGCCGCAGTGATCCTTGCGTGGGGTGCGGGCCCATCTGGGGTCCCCCCCCCGACCGCTGAGCGCGATGCGGCTCGGGTAGAGCTGAGACCCCCGCAGAAGGGAGCCGGTCAGTGACCGGGCCCCGAAGCCCCCAAACACACGCCGGAATCACTGAACCGAGTCTGCCGTCGCTGGTGTTTCCCGGGTGGCGGCAGTTCTGGATAGTGGAATGGAGCGAGGGGGCGTCCCCCAGTACACATCATGAAACCAAGGCCCACTGAACCCAGTCCTGCCAACGCCCGGGCGACAGATAGCGCGTTGGCCCTCTTTGCGCCCTCCGCAAGCAGCGTGCCAGGGGTCACGCGCTGCTTGGGGTCACTGCTGCGTGTAGCCGATCCTCGTCCTCGTCATCGTCCTCGTCCTCGTCCTCCTGCCCCTCCTCATCCTCCTCATCCTCTTCCTCCTCCCCATCCTTTTCCTCCTCGTCCTCCTCCTCCTCCTTCTCGTCATCCTCGTGCTTCTCGTCATCCTTGTCCTCCATCTCCTCCTACTTATCCTCCCCCTCCTCCTCGTCCTTCTTCCCCTCCTCCTCCTCTTCCTCCTCCTCCTCGTCCTCCTCCATTCCTTTTCATAATCAACAATTTCTCCCTGCCTGTCGCACCCCGAGGCCAGTTTTTAGAGCGGGCCAGGTGCTCCCCTGACATCTTCTCATCGCTTATGACCCTGAAGCTGAAACATTGGCAACAGTTTCACAGGCGGGCCGTTTTCGAAATGTGGCTCTCGCCTTAGCGCCGCGCGCATTCGTTTTGCAAATTTGCAAAAGTTTCACGGATTGAAGGCGATCCGTTTCCAAAATGTGGTTCTCGCCTGAACGCCGCGTACATGCGCTTTAAACAATTGCAGGGGCTTCACAGATTGAGGGCGCGTTTTCTTTTCAACATGTGGTTTTCGCTTTGGAACCGCGCACAATCGTTTTAAACATTTGCAAGAGTTTCACGGATTCCCATGATCAGCGGACCAGAAGCGGTGTTTTGGAAGGATTCAGGATCATGCGGGTGCAACGGTTCCATTGATTCGCGCTGCTGAAGTCCCAGGAATGGCGTTCTGGCACGATTCAGTATCGCAAGACGCAACAGTCAGGTCGATCCGTGGCGCTGGGGCCCCGAGAATAATAATGTTTTGGCATGCTTGAGGGTCTTCAAACGGTTGTCTTCCAATGAGCCGGTGTAGGGGCCTATGAACAGGGAGCTTGGAGGGAGGCTTGATTCCAACATCGTGGATGACTCTTTGGTTTATACTCTTCCTCCTCCTCCTCCTCCTCCTCAAGGATCGGTGGCCCCTGTTTTTGTCAATGCGTTTCAGCGCTTTCCTGGCCCCTCTCGCGGCCTACGGAGGCCCCTGTGGGGCCCCCGGCGGCACCCGGAGGTACCCCGGAGGCGCTGCGGGAGCTCGCTCGGGCGGTGGAGGCTGTCCTGCACACCGCGATGGGCCTCGGCGACACGGTCATCGTCACCAACGCGCGAGAGTCCTGGGTGGAGGAGAGCGTGAGGCGCTTCATGTGGAGAACGGAACCGCGACGTAGGGGCAGCCCGGACATGGTCGCGTCGCAGCAACAAGAATCAGGGCGGGAGGCTGCTTGGCCGCTTTCGGCCGCCCTCGCCGGGCCTCGGGAGCGTCAAACAACGACTCAACCCGGATGAGAAACCGCCCTGACTCCAGATCCGCCCTACTTTGGGGACTTTCGTAAGTAGGGCCTGGAATTTCCGCCTTACTGTTCATGCCCCGCGGATGCCAATTTCCGCCCTACTTTTCTGTTGCTGTTGCCGCCCTACTTCTGTGGGCTTCCGCCCTACTATATGCTGGGTGCAGATATTTCCGCCCTACTTTTTCGGCTTCCTATGGGTGGCTTCCCGACGCAATCTTCAGTTGGGAAAAAAGCCACAGTAGGGCGGATCTGGAGTCAGGGCGGGCCTCGGGAGCGTCAAACAACGACTCAACCCGGATGGGAAACCGGTCCCGGGGAAAGGGTCGGGCCTTCCGGGGACCCGGTCCTGGAGCAATCGCGGGCGCCGCACGTCCGGGCTGACAGTTCGGAGGTCCGCGCGGACGTCCATGGATCGGACGTCCCGGAGCGGTGGGGCCCAGCGCTGCTCCAAGGAGTCTGCGCGGACCTCCGAGCGGTTGTGTGCTCCTCCTCCTCCTCCTCCTCCTCCCTCCTCCTCCTCCTCCTCCTCCTCCCTCCTCCTTCCTCTTCCTCCTCTCCTCCTCCTCCTCGTCCTCCTCCTCCCCCTCCTCGTCCTCCTCCTCCTCCTCCTCCTCCTCCTCCTCCTCCTCCTCCTCCTCCTCCTCCATCTCCTCCTCCTCCCCCTCCCCCTCCCTTGGTCGTCGTTCCGTTCTCTGTCGTGCCCCAGCTGGCCCGGACCCTCGGCGGCCTCGAGGTCGTGTCGGCCCGCGCCGGCCACGAGCGGAGCTTCCCCGGGGAGCCCTCCGTCTGGAAGGCGCAGGCGTTCAAGGAGGCTCGCGCGGGGAATCGACTACACAGTTAGTTTACCCAGGCCCAGACCTCCTCGCGTCGTGAAAAAAACACGACGGGAGGTTTTTCGCTATTTTCGGCCTCCGGGGGCCCTTCCCGGGCCTCGGGACCGTCAAAAACGACTCAGGATGAAAAGCCGGTCCTGGGGAAAGGGTCGACGTAATGAAAAAATCACGACGTCGGAGGTCTGGGCAGTTGGTTTACCCAGGGGAACAAGCAATGGCATAAGCATAAAAAAAGCTCGGAGGTCCGCGCAAATTTCTCGGATCGGCGCTGGACCTCCCTCCTTGGCGCGCGGAGCGCGCCAGGGGCGGCGCCGGAGGCGCCGCCAGGCGGGGTCCAGCGCCAATCCGAGAAACTTGCGCGGACCTCCGAGTTTGGCATGTTTCTGTCATTGTGTGTGTTCCCCTAATCACCCCGAAATTGATTGTCCGTCGAGCGTATCAAGAATACAAAGAAGCCTCCTGCATATTTGAGGAGCATCGGATTTATGTGTTGTAGGCTATACGGGAAAAAATTGAATTCCGCCAGAGGAAAAACCCAATCATTGCATGGTTTTCGCTGAGGAGATCGACCAGGAACCCCGGAGCCCGGGAACCCAGAGCCCACCGAAATCGGCCTTTAATCAATAATCGCGAACCCGGGAACCCAGAACCGGGAACCCGGGAAGCCAGCTTGCCACCAAAACCGGCGGGAGATTTTCGCCAAATCTTCCAGCCTCCGCTAGGGCCCCTTGAGTGCAAGCACTGATTGGGAAACAAAGAAACCTCCTGTAGATCTGAGGAGCATCCGATGGGAGGAGGAGGAGGAGGAGGAGGAGGAGGAGGAGGAGGAGGAATCTGG